TTCAAATTTGTAAACTGATTCCAGCTAACTCTTACGGTTTAGGAGTTTTGGCCATTTATTTGGTAACAAAGAACGGTTCTAGAGTGAGTGTGTTGAGTACATGACGCAACACATAGATAAGCTGTCGGCGGATGACGTCACGTATAGATGTAAAGGTATACATCAATGTGCAAATAAAATTTTATTTCTGTACAAATATACTTCTACAGTTAAACGTTATTCAACGTTAACTAGTGAACCGTGGTTCCACTGTCAATTTTTTTGTATTGTATTAACTCGCCGTAAGTAATTGTGAAAAATCAAGGCGACATACAATTCATATTACTTGGGATAAGATACTGGAAAGATAATTTTAATAATTTTAACTCTCAGTACGAACAATTCATGTTACACACTGTTTACTTTCACACTTTGAATAAATCGTGTTTTATCTCAAAAGTTTTAGACATGAAAGGCAAAGGTGAAGAAAGGATATCATTGTGAAGTCATTATACTTCTGTACACAGTAGAATTTAAGATTGATAAAATGGAAAAAAAAAAATACAAATAACAGCATCAGTGATAGAAACGCTGCTTTAAAATGAGGAAGAATAGTTGTAAGACGTGGGTAAAGCAAAGCGACTTCTCAGATATCGTAGTCTTCGTGTGGCAGCACAAGCTTATATTTCGGTTTAGTCATTCAGGGGAAAACCTCTTTAAAATTCAGAGTAGAATATTTCTTCAGAATCCTCTAGAGACTTTTGTTGAGGCTGCTGCTTCAGCTAAGAAAAGATGTTACTACGGCAACAAGTACGAGAGGGAGATTTTCAACGTGGGTTAGTAAGCTGTACAAAGAATGCTTTGATATAATCGAACTTGTTTATGCAAGACATCGAAATGATTTATGGAATCAAGTGAAATGATAGCCAATCACTCTCTATCTTGCACTGCCAATTTGTGATGTGGTCTATACACAGTCCGTCACTTGTTCGGTAGATAATTTGTGCGTTAAGTATTTCTGATTATACCTAATTCAATCTGTAATTTAATATAGGGATTACACACACTGTGGAGAAACTAAATACACAGATTCAGTTTGGACTATTCTGCTGACAGTTGTAACACAGGTGAGTCACGATTAAGATCCGAATTAAATAAAATATAACTGAAATAAACTTGTGGCAGTCACACTGAGCACTTACAAAAATGTAAATTGTGAAAACAAACTTGCTCCAATATAATGTGATTTGTGTCATATCTGCAGCTTTGTTCATTTTAGAACTATAATTTATTTAAATTGGAACCTAATTTAAATTCAATAATTAAACGACATTCAGCAAAAACTAGGGAGGCATTTCTATTCAGCTGCGTATATTTTTAATTTTCCAAAAGAGGGGTAACTTCGAAAACTAAATTTACTTATTACGATTAGTGCTATTTTGCAAACTCTTTCATGGTCACGGATGGAACTAGAAACAAATCTACGTTGAAAGAAAGGTGCATTTTACAGAACCAACTGAAATTACTTTTTTCATGACTATGATAATTAGATATTGCTTTAAAAAATGTCCTCATCATTTTGAAGCATTTCTGGTCTGAAAACCGGAAAGGACTCAATTTGCTGTCATACATCACATATACCTTCTTGCTTCTTGAGAACTTTCTGTTATACACTTCTATGACTAAAATACAGTCACATATACCTTCTTGCTTCTTGAGGACTTTTTGTTATACACTTCTATGACTAAAATACACAAGAACGGTTAGATATTTCTTAAATAAGAGTGTACATATTATGGGATACAAAAATTTACAACATTCCTTTTGACAAAATAATTTAAAAGATAGGTGACATCGTGACAGCTTGGTCTCTCCACCACTGTTTCAACTGTGCTACGTTCTTATACCAGACATAATGTGAAATTATTTTTAGTAGTTGCTATAGTATTTGCAATGTAATTATAAGAATTCGATATATTGTTCATCCATACACGAAGTATAGTTCTGATGTCTGTATGACTGTCTAACATTCCTGTTAATCGATTCAGTTACACAGTCAGGTGCATTCAGTATATTTTAAATGATAACCCAACTCTACATCTCCCTTGCTACGCTGTAGAGAACATTCTTGAAATAATACTATTCTCACACTTAGGTACATTAAGATGTCTAAATACAACTTCTGTTGTATGTCTGGATAAAATTGTTATAAAAGTGTATATGTAATCGTGCTCCTTGTAGCTAGGTGCAATGCGTCGGTTCAAGCGATTGAAGTTCAAGTCCTGCGGTATCTCACAGAATTCGTTCACTAACCAGGGCTGTACATCTTCTGGCGCAGTTCCATGTTTCTACTTCAAGTTATTCTCGTCTTTTCTTTTTCGTTGACATTGTGAGAGATTATTGTTATGCTCTAGTTAATTTGTCCTTCAACACGGCCCGCATCGCGTACAGCACTCTTTAGTAAAATAAGGTCTTATATCCATTCTTTGGTCGCCACATCATGTGGTTGGCTGCCTCAAACGTCGTTTAAACTACGTATTTTCAAATATACAATTGAAATGTTTGTGTATAAGTATTGGTGAATCTTTCAAGTTGATCGCAAAAATGATCATCCTATGTTGTAGAGGGCATGGACAGCAAATATCTCTTCAATAAAAGTTTGCGTTTATTCAGTCGTACTTAAGGACACTATAGCACGAACTCGTGTTTGCTCTTAAGTTACATAACTTAAACACTTCACTCTTGCGTGAGTGTATTTACGTGCTATGCTGTGGCAACGATAAATTTTTTTCTTGAATCACTCTTTGGAGAAATAAATATTTATCATCAGAGTGGCCTGATTATAAAAATCACAGGAAGAAGTTTAGCATTTCATGTATGGCGGAATCGAAGGGGAGAGAGAGAGAGAGAGAGAGAGAGTACAGTCCACGACTGTAATCTTGAGACTTGCAAGAAATGCAGTAAGTCCGGATCGTTAAAGGCAGACGCTATCTTTTTCCTTCCTCCTTCACCCCACATCCTCACCCCGCAAGTCTCAAGATTACAGTCGCGGACTATAGAAGAAGAAGAAGCATTCTCCTTACAGTAAAGGGGTGAATATTTTGAATGTTCAGATTTATTCTACTTTTTTAACAAATACATTTATGTGCTACGGAATCGTAGGATCTGAAATGTAAAAATATTTCCAAAATTGTGAAACTCTCCATAAACTTGTATTAAAACTCTTAAGTCAGTGTGTTTTTAAGAAATGTTTGAATGAATTTAAAGCATAGGTCCAGAATGTACTGTTACTCAGTGAATGATGAGGTTTTGTGCGGTTTACAGATGTTTCTTATTAATGCTATAAGGGAATGTCTAACTAGATTCAAAAGTTTGGGTGGCATTAACTGTTGAGAAGGATGCCAATACAAGAAAAACAAATACATGGCACCGCCATTAACTTCTGCATTTTCCGATATTTACGGATTTTCCAGACCCACAGAAACGCAAAACAGAAATATTTTAGCACAAATGAAGGGGAAGTTTTTGATTTTTTTTACAGGCTAACCAGAAGATATATTCCTTTGCACCGTCGAAGGGGCTCAAGAATGAGCATGTTCTGTTTTAAGATTTGCCTAATTTAAAATATTTGTG